TTTCCAAAAATCATATCTAATACTTTCACATAACTCACACTAAAACTTTGAACTTCTTGTATAGCTTTTCTACCAAAACTCTCCATGAATCTTTGTATAAATAAATATTTTTAAAAATATTATCAAATTAATTAATTAATTAATTACATCACATTCTTCGCATAGTGGTCCTATATTTCCTTAATGGCAAACATTATTTCCAAATGATGTTCCTATACAATTCTATAATCTATTATAGCATTATAATATTTATAAACTATGCTCATCTTTTCTCCAAAATCCACTTTAGAGATCAACTACTCCATTTTAGCATTATCCTCCAGAAGGACAGGAATAACATGCTTCAAAGTCTAATGAATATTTGCCATCTTCACAAGTTTAACATTCTTTATAATTGTTATACTAATTAATGATCTCTCCATAAACACAATTCCTAAAATTAACATGCACTTCAAATGTATAATTATTTTCAAATATTTATGTTTAATTGTTAAATATCTTTATTGAGTCTGAAATAAATTCTATTATCAAGTAGGAATTAGGAATACCTATCAAGTCTAGATCATCAAATATAAAAATATTTTTGATAGGATCAATTTATTGGATAGTATTTCCTCTAAAATAATATTGAGAAGAATTTACTGTCTTTGTACTTATTCTTATTTGAGCTGTAATTTGCTATCCTTCAGTATATATTACATGTTTACTGCTATTATCTCTTAGCTCAAAGATAAATTTAGGAAATTTATCACCACTTTTAAAATTGTTAAATATAATTTAATTCTAATTTTAATGTTAATATTAAAAACTTTGATAGTTGACATTATAAAGTTATGTTGGATAAGAAAATTAATCATTTCCATAATACAAAGCCTAATTAAATGAAATCAAACTTTTTTCTATTTTAGGGTTTACTCCTTAATTATAAATTCCACCACCTATATTAGCCTTGTTAATACTAACTTCAGTATTTTAAATCATTATCTATTATTAACTTGAGTTAACAGTTTATGCCAATATATAAAAAGCACCTCCATTACCTTACTCAGCTGAGTTTTCTCGAAAT